TTTTTTTTTTTTTGCTTCATAGAGCTTGTATGTGTCTTCAATTATAGATATGAGAAACAGAGACACTATGGGTAGCAGAAGCAATATACTTGTTCTGAATATTATACTCAAGTGAAGGCACATAGTTTTATTTATTTGTCTATGTTGGAACAGTTTGAGGATTTTTCCCAAAATGTTGCGAGACTCATGAAACCAAAAAAGTAATATACAGATCCTATATCTCACATCTTTTGCCTTTTCTTTGTGGCAAATCAAAATTAAATTAATAGCAAGTGAATCTGTCTCTGTTAGCCTCGTAGCAGCTTCCATGCTTATGAATTACTGATGCCTAACTGTATTTTTATACATGATTGACTATACTGCAAAGTATTTTGTGTCTAATAAACTAGCCTACTTTAACTAATCTATGAAAGTAAACCACCTCCCACGAGTGAAGTTGGATCTATTAAAAGCGTATTGTGAGAAGTCTATGATGGTGTCAGGTTTTTGCTAGAATCAGGTGGATGGTCCTTGACTCCTAGTCCATATGCTGCAATGCCCCATACTTTTTATAATATGATTGGTGAACATCCTTTATGTTTGTACTTTTTATTAATTATTATTTGACTGGATACACTGAAAACCATTTTATTTTTATCTGTTCCAAGCCCTGCTGGGACTTTCTTCGTTTTCCTGAGATTGTCTGCTTATTAACTTCTATTCCAAGAGATTCTTATGCAGTTGACCACTTCATGTATTGAAAGCTGGCCCATAGATATTTCAGCGTACTGAGTGCATAGTCATCATCAAGCTTTTGCTTATCGCTTGGATTAATCTTATACGTAATTCTTGCAGGTGATTTTAACAACTTTGCTGAAAGTATATGTAAAAGGAGGTCTTTTTGACAAATCAAGAGAACTCTTGCTTGAACTCCAAAGACTAGGCTATGCCGGAGATGAGGTAATCATTCTTAGACGTCACACAGTTCCTTAAAAATTTAGTCTGGACTCTGTGGGTTTCAATTTAGGATTTGACTAGAAATTGGGGGCGATACTTGGATTTGGGTTGATCAAGTCCAATAATTTTGTTTTGTACTACATATAGTAGGATTTGCAATTAATTTGGATAATTAGTTATAGGTTTTGAGTAAAAGCTTTTCATGTTTTTAAATTTAGATTTTGTTTGGTATTGGTTTTGTTATTTCTACAAAATTGCTTCTAATTTACTGCAGATGCCATACTGTCTACTGATGGATGGCCTCTCAAAGTCTGGAAAACTTAAGGAAGCCAGATTAGTTTTTGATGAAATGAAGCAAAATGAAGTGAGAAATGGTATGTGCAGTTCAAGACACAAGTGTTTTAGCTAGCAACTTCTCTTGAACAGTGTATTGCATGTTACTTCGCAAGTGTCCACAATGTAGTGGAATGTTAAGCAGGTTATGTTTCAGCTAAAGCTTTACCCTAAATGGATTGAATACATATGGACTATTTATACATGACTATAGCTAGCCATGCTCCTCCTCTTGTATGTTGATACTGGTTTATAGAAAGTTCAGAATTCATGTCAATAGCTAGGCACAGCTGTTCTTTAATATCACTACTTCTACTTTCTACTACTAGCCTAGGTGTATCAGAAATTGTCCATGAATGTAGGTTTGAATATGACTTTGCCTGCTTGATCTGATCACAAGGTTTATTGGTTTTCTCTTTTTCCTGTTTTCTTTTAGTTTAAGATACTAGAATCTCCTTCGTAATTTCCATAAATGTCTTTGCTTCTTATGTTATATTTTTAGAACACTATGTGTAATAAGTTATGCGCAACTTGTAAGTCACACACTCATGACCTTCTTTGCTCAATATATCTGTAGATGGTTACTCCTACAGTATTATGATTTCAGCCCTCTGCCGCGGTGGGTTCCTTGAAGATGCAAAGCAATTGGCTTGTGAATTTGAGGCCAAATATGACAAGTATGATGTGGTTATTTTGAATACAATGCTCTGTGCCTATTGTCGAACAGGAGAAATGGAGAATGTAATGAAAATGATGAAGAAAATGGATGAGTCAGCAATTAGCCCTGATTGGAATACCTTTCATATTTTAATAAAATATTTTAGCAAGGAAAAGTTGTATCTACTTGCATTCCGTACCATGGAAGACATGCACAGAAAAGGTCACGAACCCGAGGAGGTAGGATTCAGTTACTACTGAAGTGCTATCTACGAAAGTGCTGTTTCCTAAAATAATATAATTTATTTGCACTTTAAGGGTTGACAATTGAGAGAAAAATATATGCAAGGAAATATAATGGCCTCCTATACCATATACCTGGCTTCTTTACCGACATCACTTACTTGTGGAGTTATAGGCTTCCCAAAGGTTTTTATTAGCTTCTGCTTAGTATTTTTCTTGTAAACAATGATTGTTTGTTGATCCTTCCATATCACTGGTACTCGGTTTGTTTTTTTTGGTTGATGAGAGAAATCAAATATGTACTTTAATATTTGGATAATCATAGTTTGCTTCTGGACATTTTTAATATGTAGATAACTAATTTTGAAATTAAAATTCACTCGTCTGCAAAGGAAATTTATCACTTTATCATGTCATTTTATGTTCATACAGATTTTCATCGGTGCAACCACTGATAGCATGTGAAAATGGGATCTTGGAAAACAAAAGCTAACAGGTGGTCTTGGAAATTTTTCTGCACTTTAGTTGAGGGGAATTAGCATTTTAATCTAGCCATCATAATAGCATCTGAGAATGAGACCATTTGTTGCTACCTGTCATTTTCTGATAAGAATTTTTGTTTAAGCTTTATTTTGAAATTAAGAGAAGCTTTCACTAGTTTTTCTTAAATCCACTCTTATCATCCTTTTATTATCATCTGCTCTCTTAATAGAGTTCATCTGGTCTGACAACAACTTTGAGCTGAAATCGATGAAATTTTTCAATGACACATCGATTCCAACAGCTATATTTGTTTCCCGAAAGAGTATGCTGTTCACAGAAGAGAATTGTTCAAAGATGACAGTATATTTTCTGGTTATTTGGATGGTTTTCGACATGTTTAAATTTTTTTTAACCTCAATGTGGGGCCCGTTGATACCCGTTTTCTTTATGCAGGACCTCTGTTCCTCTTTAATTTTCTACCTTGGTAAAACTGGTGCTCATACAGAAGCATTTTCTGTGTACAATATGTTGAGATATAGCAAGAAAACCACATGCAAGGCCCTTCATGAAAAGATTTTGCATATTTTAGTTGCAGGTGGACTTCTCAAAGATGCATATGTAGTAGTCAAGGTATATAATTAACCTGTAACATAATCTTCAATAGGGTTATGTCTCGTGGATGATTGATTTCTAAGCGTATGCGTACTTCAGGACAATGCAAAGTTTCTCTCTCGGGCTGCTTTAAGGAAGTTTTCTACCTCCTTTATGAAAAGAGGCAATATGAACTTGATAAACGATGTGCTAAAGTCTATTCATGGCTCTGGTTACAAGATTGATCAGGTGATGATTTGATTTATTTAGTCAAGTGATCGATGAAGTTTATTACTTTCATACATAGACTTGAAATACATGGTTCTGGCTGTCTCTGTCTCCCAACTCATTGGGCTGGATTGAGTTCTTTATCCTTGTGAGCTAGGATTTGACGGTTGTACATAATTCACGTTGACCTCGTTGATTTTCTAGTTATGGATGAAAGCTCTGTAACCTCTGTTATTAGTGTGCCTTGGCTGTCTTAGTAGCTTCAAGAATGAACACTTTGCCTTGTCTTTTTCAGGAAATATTTCATATGGCCATATCTCGTTATATTCAGCAACCTCATAAGAAAGCATTGCTTCTTCACTTGCTACAGTGGATGCCTGGTCAAGGCTATGCTGTTGATTCATCTACAAGGAGTCTGATTCTAAAACATTCCCACTTGTTTGGGCGTGAACTTATCATGGAACTATTGTCCAAGCAGTATATGGTGTTGAAAACAAATAAATCTCGTGAGGGGAAGACAAAATGAGTCTGAACGCATTACATTTCAGGTATACATAAGACTTGCTACAACTTGGTACATTTATACTGCAATAGTTTAGCATGTTTTCTATCAGAGAAAGACTTTTTCCCTGAAGATGACTTGACTTGCACCCTCTATTTATTAAATATTTTCTGTGAAATAATTGCTTATTTTATATGTCTCATGTGGAGAAAGAAATTCAAATTAAGAAAATTCTATGTTGACTAACACTGACAACTTGGGTTAATGATCAGCGTCACCTGGGATGTGCATGGGGTACATACGTATTCTAAATGACCATGCATTTCTTATCTTGGTAATAAAATCTGAAATGAATTCCCAAACTTCACAATTACATTTAAATCCACAACGAAAAGCAACTTTCCAGACCATATTTTCCCTTTTGTCCCTGCCTTATGCCTTCAGGTTGATTAGCTCATACCAAATGGAGGACAGTGTAGCCTTACCAAATCGATAAAGCATGTACTTGAGGCTTCTCCGTCTTCTTTATTCAGCTTTAGCTTTTCCCGAACAGTGTCAATAACTGCCATTCCTCCAGCCTGTATGCAGAAATGGTCAAATGCTTTCTTGAAGTTATTAACATATATCTCCTTTCTTCTTGCCGAAGTAGAAAACTTCCTATGAATTACTGAGAATCCATAGTGGATGACACATGGACCCAACTCTGTTATATTTGTCTTTAGAGCATTCCCTGCCACATGTAGAAGCGTTCTTGATAGTGAAACCCAAATGTGCCCAAATTCATCATTTTCCTGGAAAACAGACTGGTAAGATTGATCATCTGATCCCATGTGTGTTCTTAACAGATATTGAAGCTTGTACTTTGCTCTCCTTTTGTCACATTTCTTATTGGACAACAAGACAACGCCTCCTCCCTTCAGAATCGCGCGTTAGCTAGAAGCATGGACGTCATTTTACAATCATAATCATTTGGAGTCACCGCTTCCGTGCTAAGAACCAAAGTCAATGAATTCCTGTGGACTTTAAGGAGTTCTTTTTACGTTACTTCTAAATTCAAATTTGTTTATGATCCAGGCTGCAATGGATGGTGGAGGACAGAAGATACTACAATTGGATACTAGTATATCGATGTTTTTGGTATTTATGTTGTGTTTGGTGAGGAGATCCTTCACCACTGTGAAAAGAACGGTTTCAGTTTATTATCGACTTGGGTTGAGAGATTTATCCTGTAGAATTTGATATAGAGGAAGTGAAAATCCGGCCTCACATCCGATTCCCCTTCTTTCAGCCACACTATTCTGGAAATATATTGCATCTCTCTCATGAATGCCACAGATTTCAAAATGATTGATAATTGGAGATCAAGACTCGCAAGTCATCTGTGGTCGATAACAAGAGAAATCGACGAGATAAATGCAAGTGGATCATCAAGAAAAGAAGTATACAATGAAGATCAAAGCAGTTTCTGACAATAGATGAAAACAAGCAAAAAAGAATGATAGTATTAGTCTTGTGATGAGACCTCCATTTCTGAACTCAAGAAGCTTTGATTCAGGTTGATTTACATTACATTCTGGTGTTTGGTAGATGCTCCAATTTGACAAGAACCTTAAACATCAGTGTTTGCTCACAAATATTGCCCACTCCAACCTCATTTGCATGCATCTTAAGTTTATAATGTTTTCTTTTGCATTTAGTACACTGTACACACAGGCTTCTTGTTGATAGGCTTATATCACCATCTATAGATTTCAGTTTCACAGTAATATATAACTATGAGGTATCCAGTGCTTAAATGAGAATCTTGGTAACAGACTCTCTGTTCAATCAAAA